TGAAAAATCGTGGAGAATGATGTTATCGGTAAATATTCCCTTTTCGGTAAAAATACCGAAAAATCCGGTTCAAGTCCATCCATTGACAATCTGAAATTTGCAATATGAATTTATATTCTAAACTCTATGCATATCCGTTCACACTCGTCAATATTTCATTTGAAGCTTTTATTTGTCATAAGATTTAGCAAAATGTAAGATAGTAAAGGCAACAGTCCAGTTGACAAGAACGACAAGCTGTCAAAATTAAGGATGTTTAGATCCACGAAAAGTATCATTTCATGTATCGATTCTTATCGTTTTAGGAAGTATCGATACTCTAAAATATTGGAATAAAATTACCGATATCCAGCGGAAGGAAACAAAGGACAAAAGTAATCTGAAGTTAGTCACCCTTTCTGACACAGTCCGAATCGAAAGATGACGATACTTGTGAAATGTATCGATACACCCAACTGTCGTATATAAAAATATCGTTCCAAAATATCGAGTATAGGAAGCAAAAGTATCGATACTTCTAAATATAGGATCGCATCGAACATCCCTACTGTCAAGATGTATAATCCGAGGTACCGACGGAGCTATTTTGCGGCGTCATGGAAATAATTTTATATTTTCATTTGCATTTTTTCAAGTGTTGTGCAACGATTTTGGGAAAAATTCCACGTATAGTCTTAAAAAGCTTAGTAGAGTATATTTCAATAGTTGGCGGAGCTTACTCCACTGGGACTTAGGGTTGACGGATCCCACACATGTATCCCTCGTTGGGAAGTTTTGAAATGTAATAATCAGCTGTTATTCAAATATTGTCTAATATAAATATAACCTAGAATGTGTTCTCAGTGAAACAAGAAAGATATTGCAAATGCTATTTTTTCGCAGGTTTTAAGTTTGCCGCTAGCTTTACGACATACCTGTATATTTGAGTATTTCTTAATCGCTGTAAATATAGTGTGGATGTTTGTTCAGTTCCTGAACAACGAAAAATATTAAACTTTATGGATGTATGGATATCATAAAACCTGAATGGTTTTGGGGGAATATCAATCTAAGGTGCCATAATGGTTCTGATGAACGGCAAGTAAATGAATGAATGTTTGGAAACGAGCAATATCTAAAAAATTTTTGGTAGAGTTTGTCATCAAGTAGGTGTTTAATGGCTATCTGCAAGAGGTTTATAGGGAAAAAAACACGGGGGGTAATGTTAAATCAGTAAAATCGCATATCAATTGAAGAAAATAATATAAACATGAATAAAATATATATATATATATACGAGTATATATAAAATAAAACATGAATTTTATTCAAAAATCAAACATTTCTTTAAATTTTGACTGAATTATATGTAATTTCTTAATATTCAATAAACTGGTGATGTTTCAAGGACAAGCTGTCATCTCATACTTTGACAATATTTTGGTTTCAACATTTCATAGCTATTGGTTGCTGAAATTTGTTGATTGGATATTGAAGCTCATTCACTGTATTTGACGGACTGTTACCCTATAGGTGGAGAATAACAGACTGTTAATTTGACAACCTTGGTGAAATCCACCCTGAGATGATTTTATGCAAAGTTACATCTCGGTGTCTTTTGATGTCCTGGCTACACTGGCAGTTGATGACATTTTCAAAGACACAGCTTGAAGCTAAAATAATTCGCACCTTAAATGTCAAAATAGACATACTAAAAGCTTGTTGATGGTTGATGGTACAGCATGTTTGCAGATTTTGTCTTACAATCGTACACAGACTTCGAAAGAAGACGTTTTGCTTTCGAGGTATCAAAAATAGAGATAATGCTTTTAAAAATGCATGCAATGCGTATTTAAATCGTGAGCATATTCTTTGAAAAGCGGCGCTAAGAATGTTAGAAATGGCACTTTGGTGCCGCATACGGAAACGCATTTCCGAGTGATTTCAAAATTCCTTAAAATCTACCGAATATTTCTGATCGAAAACCCAGAATAGTGAGGTTAG